TTTTCAGTTTCCTAGATGATCTAGAGCGATTAGGTGAAGCAACTTATCAGCCTACAGAGCAGGATATACTACGTACTCGTGTAAAGACTACTGGTATTGTCGAAGTTCATTTCACCTTCAAAAACCTCAACTTCAAGTAAGTAACTACACTTTTGTTTTATCTTCGATTTTTGATTTTTTCTTCGAACTTGTCTAACTCCTGCAAGCTGAGCAGTCTTGTGCTTTTCTTAGATTATTCGATGTGGGTGGTCAACGGTCAGAACGAAAGAAATGGATTCATTGTTTCGAAGATGTCACAGCTATCATATTCTGTGTTGCCATGTCCGAATATGACCAAGTATTGCACGAGGATGAAACTACGGTCAGTAGATTATAAAATTTAATCGGATACAAGTTTGGGGCTTCCATTTTATTCCTTGCGTCTACCAATTTAATCTCATAAATGGCTGTTCTTACCATTTTTATTAGAAAAACGCATGAAAACGCATTCGCGCTTGCAATTCGCCTACGCTCTCCTTTAAACTTGCTAAATTTCATCAAACTTGTCAGTATTCTTTTGGGAAAAAGTTAAATACATTTACTAAATCTCCTATCTCATCCTTGGATAACCACAACGGGTTTACCAATTATATACCCCAAAATCTATGCGTTTCCTACTTATCACACTTGGGTCTAAAAATACCACCAGCTTAAGAATATGCAGCTTAAGAATATCAATCTCTCAAATAGAATTTTTTGTAGCTTTAAGGTCCTTGTTCCAAGCGAAGCTTATATTGCGAATATGCATCTGTTAGAGATGTTTTTTTTTCGTTGGAGAGCTGGGGAGGAATCGCAGCGAAATTGTGCCAATCTTTATTCTCATCTCGCTATCCCTGAGTTCAGTCATTGTAAATATCTTAATGGGTATACAGAAAGCAGTTGTAGTGTTGGTGCGAAAGGTTTTAGAAGAACTTTACGACAAAGTAATAAGCAATAAATTCCTCACATTCTTTTCTTGGTTTTTGACCGGCGAAAGACGGGAAATGTAGTGGTGCAAGGCAGTGGTAGGCTATCTTTCAATGTAGTTGGCTAAAGAATTATCCTCTGGGCAATGGGATCCTTATGTAGAAAACAGTTGTAGTCCAGGGTTTTTGGGGATAGCAGAAAAGGAGAAAGGGAACGGGATCTCTCAGAGAAGTCGTGGGACTGGCCAAGGTTAACAAACGGTTTTCTCAGAGAGTAATTTTTTCAGCTCTAGAAATTAGCTTCCTCCTTGACTTAAATTATGAACCATATATTTAAACTGGAGGGGAGGGAGGTAAAGAGAGATGCAAATTAGCTTAAGCGTTGATAAGACGAAGACGATAGTAGTGTGTATGTACTCAAGCTCACTTGCGCGTTTTTATATTTTTT